CGCGCCCGCCCGGGCAGCGAGCCGAGCTGGGCGGACGAATAACCGGCTCACGCGTGCATCGCGCATTGGGCGCCGCACGATCAGGCGGGGCCCAGGCCGGCCGGGGCGGGAGAGGGGCTGCCAGTACGTGGCGTGCCCACCTGGCCCCATCACGGCCAACCCCACGTCGGTGGGTCTTGTGGGGCGGGGCGGTCTCTGTGACGTCACTGCCGGAACGAATCCGCCAGTGGGGTGCGCACCTTTATAGAGAGTGTGATCTCTCCCCAGCCTCCACCTCCTGACTCCACACCGAAGCGTGGCCGCCAGCGCCCAAGGCAGCGGTGTCCGGTAATCTTTCCTCAATCCTGTGCCTTTGCCTGCACATTGTCTCAGCCCCCCAGCACACAAGTGTTCGGGATAGGGGGCAGGGCTGATGGGAGAAGCAGGCGGGCCAAGACGGAGTAAAGTGGGCTGTGCCTCGAGAGAGGGAGGACAGCTCCATCCCAGGAGTGGGAGTGAAACCTCCTGTGTGAGAGCAGGGGCTGACTTTTGAATTTTTATAATCCACGTTATATTTGAGAAACACAGAAAGTTGGGTGTAAATCAAATGTGGCGATCACAGACGGCCGTGGCCTGGTACCTGTAATCCCACCGTTTTCTTAGGCGAATCGGAAGGCTCCGCCAGCCCAGGGAGGCCGGGGCAGTGAGCCGGGATTGTGCCACCGCACGCCAGTCGACAACAGATCGAAAATAAAGCTGGCGCGCGGCTCACGTTTTAATCCTTGCCTTTGGGAGGTCAGCCGATCACCTGAGGTCGGGAGCCTGAGACCGTCTTCAAGGGTGGTGAAACCCTGCCTTCCACAGTACAGGAATTAGCTGGCGTGAGCAGGGCGCCAGGCTCCCAGCAGCCTCGGGAGGCTGAGGCAGGAGAATCGCTGAACTCCGAGAAATCTTTTTGTGTTTATAGTTTGAGACAGAGTTTTGCTCTGTTGCTCAGGCTGGGAGTGCAGTGGCGTGATCTCGGCTCACTGCAACCTCTGCCTCCTGGGTTCGGCAATTATCCTGCCTCAGCCTGAGTAGCTGGGATTACAGGCACATCCGCCACCAGCCACGCCCGACTATTTTTGTATTTTTAGTAGAGACTGACTTTCACCACTTTGGCCAGGCTGGTCTCCAACTCCCCACCTCAGGTGATCAACCCGCCTCGACCTCCCAAAGAGCTGGAATTACAGGTGTGAGCCACCACGCCGGCTCCCCTGGGCACCGCCGCAAAACACACACGCAAACTATAAATTACAAGAGGCTACATGAGCAATGAGTCTATGAAATCCCATCCAGCCCCTGCAAGGCCCCGTCCGCATGATTTAGCTGGCCAGTGGCTACCCTGACTTTGATGCTTTTCCAGATGGGGAAACTGAACCTCAACAGTGGGGAATCCCAAGGAGGGAAGGAAGCAGGTCTGTGTGGGAGCAATCCTGTCTGAGGAGGAAAGTAGGGTTTGTGTGGGGAGAACTCTGTCTGAGGGAAACAGGGTCTGTGGGAGGGAACCCTCTCTGAGGAGGGAAGCGGGTCTGTGTGGGAAGAATCCTATCTGAGGAGGGCAGCAGGGTCTGTGTGGAGAGAATCCTGTCTGAGGAGGGAAACAGAGTCTGGGGAGAATCTGTCTTGAGGAGGAAGTAGGTCTGTGTGGAGAGAACTTCTGTCAGCAGGGTCTGTGGGGGGAGGAGAACCTTGTCTGAAACAGAGGAGGGAAGGGGGGTGTGCAGGGAGAGAATCCTGTGGTCTGAGGGAAGCAGGTGTGGGGAGAACCTGTCTCAGGAGTGGGAAGCGGGGTCTGTGTGGAGAGAATCCTGTCTGAGGAGGGCCAGAGTGTGTAGGGGGAGAATCCTGTGTGAGGAGAGAAGCGGGGTGTGTGGGGGGAGAATCCTGTCTGAGGAGGGAAGGGGTCTGTGTGGGGAGAATCCTGTCTGAGGAGTGGAAGCAGAGTGTGGGGGAGAATCCTGTGTGAGGAGAGGCTGGTGTGGGGGAGAATCCTGTCTGAGGAGGGAAGTGGGTGTGTGTGGGGAGAATCCTGTCTGAGGAGGGAAGCGGGGTGGGGGAGAATCTGTCTGAGGAGGGCGGGGGGGTGTGTGGGGGAGAATCCTGTCTGAGGGAAGTGGGTCTGTGTGAGGGGAGAATCCTGTCTGAGGGAAGCGGGTGGTGGGGGGAGAATCCTGTCTGAGGGAAGCGGGTGTGTGGGGGAGAATCCTGTCTGAGGAGGGAAGGGTGTGTGTGGGAGAATCCTCCACCTGAGGGGGAAGGGGTGTTTGGGGGAGAATCCTGTCTGAGGGAAGTGGAGTCTGTGTGGGGAGAATCCTGTCTGAGGAGGGAAGGGAAGTTGGGGGAGTATCCTGTCTGAGGGAAGCGGGTGTGTGTCAGGGAGAATCCTGTCTGAGGGAAGGGTGTGTCGGGGAGAATCCTGGTCTGAGGGAAGGGTGTGTGGGGGAGAGAATCCTGTCTGAGGGAAGGGATCTGTGGGGAGAATCCTGTCTGAGGGAAGCGGGTGTGTGGGGGAGAATCCTGTCTGAGGGAAGGAGTGTGTGGGGAGAATCCTGTCTGAGGAGGGAAGCGGGGTGTGTGGGGGAGAATCCCTGTCTGAGGAGGGAAGCTGGGTGTGTGGGGGAGAATCCTGTCTGAGGGAAGCGGGTCTGTATGGGGAGAATCCACAGGAAGTGTGTTGAGGGAGAATCCTGTCAGAGGGAAGCGAGGTGTGTGTGGGGAGAATCCTGTCTGAGGAGGGAAGTAGGTGTGTGGGGGAGAATCCTGTCTGAGGAGGGAGGCGGGGTGTGTGGGGAGAACTGTCTGAGGAGGAAGGGGTGTGTGGGAGGAGAATCCTGTCTGAGGGAAGTGAGGTGTGGGGAGAATCCTGTCTGAGGGAAGCGGGTGTGTGTGGGGAGAATCGTCTGAGGGAAGCGCGGGTGTGTGGGGGAGAACTGTCTGAGGGAAGGGTGTGTGGAGAATCCTGTCTGAGGGAAGGGTGTGTGGGGAGAATCCTGTCTGAGGGAAGTGGATCTGTGGGTGGGGGAGAAACCTGTCTGAGGGAAGCAGGGGTGTGTGGGGGAGAATCCTGTCTGAGGAGGGAAGCAGGGTATGTCGGGGAGAATCCTGTCTGAGGGAAGGGGGTGTGTATAACCTGTCCAGGAGGGAAGCGGGTGTGTGTGGGGAGAATCTCTGTCTGAGGGAAGGGAGTGTGTGGGGGGAGAATCCAACTTGAGGGAAGGGGAGTGTGTGGGGGAGTAACTCTGTCTGAGGAGGGAAGGGTGTGTGGGGGGAGAACTTGGTCTGAGGAGGGCTGGTGTGTGGGGAGAATCCTGTCTGAGGAGGGAAGGGTGTGTGGGGGGTGGGAGAATCCTGTCTGAGTGGGAAGTGGGGTCTGTGTGGGGGAGAATCCTGTCTGAGGAGGGAAGCGGTGTGTGGGGGGAGAATCACCTGAGGAGGGAAGGGTGTGTTGGGGAGAATCCTGTCTGAGGAGGGAAGGGTGTGTGGGAGGGAGAATCCTGTCTGAGGAGGGAAGGGTGTGTGGGGGGGAGAATCCTGTCTGAGGAGGGAAGTGGGGTGTGTGGGGGGAGAATCCTGTCTGAGGAGGGAAGTGGTGTGTGGGGGAGAATCCTGTCTGAGGAGGGAAGGGTGTGGGTGGGGGAGAATCCTGTCTGAGGAGGGAAGCGGGTGTGTGGGGGAGAATCCTGTCTGAGGAGGGAAGGGTGTGAGGGGGAGAACCCTGTCCGAGGAGGGAAGGTGTGTGGGGGAGAATCTCTGTCTGAGGAGGCGGGGTGTGTGGGGGAGAATTCTGTCTGAGGAGGGAAGCGGTGTGTGGGGGGAGACCCTGTCTGAGGAGGGAAGGGTGGGGAGAACCTGCCCGAGGAGGGAAGGGGGTGTGTGGGGGAGAATCTGTCTGGAGGAGGGAAGGGGTGTGTGGGGGAGAATCCTGTCTGAGGAGGCGGGTGGGGAGAATCCTGGTCTGAGGAGGCGGTGTGGGGGGAGAATCATTCCGAGGAGGTGAAGCGGTGTGGGGAGAACCTGTCTGAGGAGGGAAGGGGTGTGGGGAGAATCCTGTCTGAGGAGGAAGGGGTGTGTGGGGGGGAGAACTCAACTGAGGAGGGACGCGGGTGTGTGGGGAGAATCCCTGTCTGCTGAGAGGGAAGGGGGTGTGTGGGGGAGAATCCTGTCTGAGGAGGGAAGGCAGGTGGGGAGACCCTGTCTGAGGAGGGAAGGGGCGTGGGGAATCATCTGAGGAGGGAAGCGGGGTGTGGGGGAGAATCCTGTCTGAGGAGGGCGGGTGGGGAGAATCCTGTCTGAGGAGGGAAGGTGTGTGGGGGAGAATCCTGTCTGAGGAGGAGGCGGTGTGTGGGGGGGGAGAATCTGTCTGGAGGAGGGAAGCGGGTGTGTGGGAGGAGAACCGTCTGAGGGAAGCGAGGGGTGTGGACAGGGAACCTGCTCCGAGGAAGGGTCCAGGTGTAGAATCCTGTCTGAGGAGGGAAGGGGTGTGTGGGGGAGAATCCGTCTGAGGAGGGAAGGGTGTGGGGGAGAATCCTGTCTGAGGAGGGAAGCGGGGTGTGTGGGAGGGAGAATCCTGTCTGAGGAGGGAAGCGGTGTGGGGGAGAATCCTGTCTGAGCCACGGCCCCCCAGGGGGGGAAAAGGCGCGCCCCCCCCAAAAAAAAAAAAAAAAAAAAAAAGAATGACTGAAAACATGGAGAGAAAAGGAACCCTAAGGAGTGAGCCTGGGGCCTTTCTTTTACCATTTACGAATCAAGAGAGGTGAGGAGGACCTTACAAAGGAGCCCAGGGAGTTGGTGGCTCAAGAGGCAGAGAAGGGTTAGGTCAGGAGGGAGGGACCAGTGACCATTGGGTTAGCCACAAAGTCTCTGTAAACTTCAAGTGGAATTGCGAATTGGGGTGGTGGGGAGGAACACCTAACTAATGGGGTGTCAAGAAGTATAGGATAATCTCATTCCTGTGTCCTTGATACCCGTCTACTCTGCAGGATGCCGTTCGCATCATGGCAAAAGACTTGGTGCGCACCCGGCGCTATGTGCGCAAGTTTGTATTGATGCGGGCCAACATCCAGGCTGTGTCCCTCAAGATTCAGACACTCAAGTCCAACAACTCGATGGCACAAGCCATGAAGGGTGTCACCAAGGCCATGGGCACCATGAACAGACAGGTGCGCTTTTCCCAATCCCCCTTCCCACTCCCACGACCTATGGGGACCACACTCACACTCCTACCACTTCCAGCTGAAGTTGCCCCAGATCCAGAAGATCATGATGGAGTTTGAACGGCAGGCAGAGATCATGGATATGAAGGAGGAGATGATGAATGATGCTATTGATGATGCCATGGGTGATGAGGAAGACGAAGAGGAGAGGTATGGGGAAACTGGATGGGAGGGTAGAGGTGTTTGCCTGGCCCTCATGGAGTGCATAGCCCTCATTGAGTTCTCTCTCTTCCCTAGTGATGCTGTTGTGTCCCAGGTCCTGGATGAGCTGGGACTTAGCCTAACAGATGAGCTGTCAAGTGAGTGCTCCAAAACCTGGGCCCCATTTCCCACCCAAGGCCCAGCCACAGCCCCAAGCCCTCCCTTTGCCTGCATTACTCCCCTCCCCTGCTCAAACCCCCACTTTCTCTGCAGACCTCCCCTCAACTGGAGGCTCGCTCAGTGTGGCTGCTGGTGGGAAAAAAGCAGAGGCCGCAGCCTCAGCCCTAGCTGATGCGGATGCAGACCTGGAGGAACGGCTCAAGAACCTGCGGAGGGACTGAGTGCCCCCTGCCACTCCAAGATAACCAGTGGATGCCCAGGATCTTTTACCCTAACCCCTCTGTAATAAAAGAGATTGGACACTAGTCTCTAGGCCCATGTGACTTTTGGCCTGATGTGGGACCAGGCTGGGGTCCCTGGGAGGACAAGTATCACCTAACGCAAGAGGCACTTGGTACAAAGCTAAGGGTGGGGGTTTGGGGCAGGGGTGGACAAGCAAAGTCCACCTGGGGTTTTTCAGGGGTTGGGAGCTTGAGGTGAGCTGTGGGCCCTGCTCCATCCCCTCCCCCAAGATACTGGACTCCCCCAAACACCCTGGTAGGATCTTGAGAGGCCAGTCCTCCATCTGCCAGGCTGTAGTGCCCAACACTGTTTGGTCCAGTGATGGTTTCATGACACCATTCGAGGACAGTCCAGACCAACCGAGGCAAGGGGGTGACCTTGAGATTCACACGGGCTCAACTGTAGAGTAACTAAATCATAACACAGGGATGAATGATAATGTTAAGTGGACTCAGCAAAGGGAGACGGAAAAAAACATATTTGGAAGGTCTCAGCTCACTGTGGTACCATCTGAAGATGAGAAACAGCTACGGCACCAAAGTTTATGAAGTATTCAGTAGAGTGGGGCTAACCCTGCCTACACAGGGCTGCAGGTCACACCCACCATCGCACAGGGTACCAAACAAGCCTCTAGCGTGTACATCCTTTGCCCTGGGTGCCCTCCCCATATCCAGAAAGGGCAAGGAGGCAGTCTTCCCCACTCCCTAGGCATCCATACACATGGGCTTGGGTAGGCTGGGGACAAGACCCCCCTCCCTTGTGCCACCAGTGCTTGATAAGGCTGAATAGCAGATACAGTCAATAAACCAGGCCCTAGGACCACAACCCCCCAACCAGCCAAGGCCTGAGGAACTGGTGAAGTTTTTATTAAATCCACAGAAGTAAAAACCGTATCGTGAGGAACTGGGGGATGGGGCCACCAGGGAGTGGGAGTCAGGCCACCAGGGGAGTGGGGATGGGGTGACAAGACAGAGAACAGAGCCAGGCTTAGCTGGCCATGGGGGCTCCAGCCTCAGGGGCCATCACCAGGGCCACCAGACAGCTCCTGGGAACTCAGGCCAGCACCAGGCAGGCTCATCGGCGGGGGCTCCACCAGCACAGCAGAGAACTTGGTGTCACCGAAGGCCTCGTTCATGCGCGTCTCGAAGAAGCGCTGCAGGCCGATGATGGACTGCACGTCTGCCTTGTCCTGGAACAAGCAGGAATGCAGTGGATGAATGGGTCCTAGCTCTTTCCTTCACATCTCTCCCTGCCCACAGCCCCTCCATTCCACTGGCTCACCTCAGTTAACTTGTTGAATTGCTTGAACATGCGGCCCACATCCTGGGCAAACTCCTGTGGGGAGCTGTAGGGAGGTGACAACTTCTCCTGCAGGCGGGCGCGGATCAGGGTCAGATCCAGGGTGCCACCGGGCTGGTCCTACAGGCAGAGATCACACATACACACACAGACACATGCACAGGTTGAGGGTGAGACCTGGCAGCCACCACCGCCCCACCCCCTGACTTTCCCATCCTAGGACTCACCAGGGAGAAGGTGGAGTCGGTAGCCAACTGATGCAGGGGGCGGCAGGGTTCATGACAGAAGAGAGCCAGCAGAACACGCTCACATTTCTACAAACAGTGTACTGGATGTCACAGCTCTGGGTAGCACCTATAAAGCCTCTATGGGCAACCCCACCTAGGTAACCCCAGTCCTCACCCGCTGGTTGGCTGGCGAGAGCTTGGCCACCACGCCAGTGCTGTCTGCACCATCCAGGCTGAGGCTGCCATCCTCCTCCTTCAGGTCAGGGAGCACATGGCAGAGTGAGCAGCTCCACTCCTCCCTAGGGTGAAGAGAATAAGGGTCTGCACATGATCCTGTCCAGACAGCCCAACACCCAGACTAGACCCACACCAGCCTCACACTCACCCTGGTACATCCTGCAGGGCCGGCAGGTGACAGTCCAGGTGGAAACAAAACTCACACTGGTTGCACATGACCAGATCACCTGGCTTCTGGCAGACACGGCAAATGGTGGCACTGTCATCCAGGGTTCCCGGGCCACCACCTGGGGCTGAGGTACCCTCAGGAGCCACCACCTCCAGCCCTGAGCTGGTGCTGCCACTAGGTGAGGCCAGGCGGGGACCCTCAGCACCAGGACCCTCCGCAAGAGCCATAAGCACAGGTTTGGTTTCAGGGCCCTCAGTGGCAGTGGGAGGGGCTCCAATGGCAGCCTCCGTCTCCTCCTCCTGCAAGGTGGTGATGAGGGGTGTTCAACAGGGTCCAGACCTGGACTACAGGCTTCATCCTACAGCTATAGTTCCTTGGGACAGGCTTACCTTGACAATGGCCATACCAGCCAAGGGTGGGGCACCAGGGGTTCCTGCAGGTGCAGTCCCTGGCTGGCCAGTAGCTGCAGCAGCGGCACCACGTTCAATAACAATAAGGTTGTAGTCCTCAGTGGTACTGCCTGGGAAGACCTTGAAGACGGGTGGCTGGCTGTCAGCTGTGAGGTCCAGGTCCAGGCGTTCCAGGCTCACTCGTGGCACCTTGCGCATAAGGCCGCTCACCTCGCCCTCACCTGAGCGGGACCTGTAGATGCAGCAACCTGGCATGAGCACACCCCTACCCACCATCCACCTCCACTCCCAGGGGAGGTGCCACACTTACCGTTTCACACCGGACACATGGGGCTCTGCACTTGAGTAGGGATCATCTACTTAGAAAATGGAGAAAGAAGACTGGCAGGTTGGGGTAGAAACAGCACTGGGGCCCTTCCCCACCCACTAGGCAGACCCACTCACCTGACCCAAAGCCATAGCCTTCCTGTACCTCCATGGGCTGTGAACAAAGCAGAGCCCTCTGCCTCAGTGGGACAGGAACCCTGTTGGACCCCATTCCCTGCCCACCCCCTTCCCGGGTCCTCTCTCCTGCTCACCTGGCTGCTGCCAGAGCCCTGCTTGCTCAGGGGCCCTGGGGCTCTTGGAGGGGCCATGGGTGCAGGGCCTGTTGAGTTAGTGCCAGGACGCTCTGCCACAATCTTGCCTGCACAAAAAAACAGAAACATAAGCAAGTACAGCACATGGGGTAATAACAAAGCAGAGCAAGGTAGAGCTGGGACCCACCGAAGGCCTCGGCACTCTTGGTCCAGGCATTGAGGTCCCACTGAAACTTCATCTCGCCATGTGGCTCCACGGGATCCACAATCATCTTGAGGGCCCGGTGCAGCTGGAAGTAGATCTGGTTGGGAGTGAAAGGGAAGAAAGAATGAGCATACCAACAACAAATAGGGATTTGAGGTACTGGGAGCCGCCTGCCTGGAACCCACCAGCTGGAAGCCCACCAGTACACACCAACTTCTTAGAAAGCAAAAGGGCTGTGTTGTTGTCACTCTCCAGAGCCCAAGAGGCAAAGCGCAGAATGTGCTCCTGGTGCTTCTGGATCTTGGTCATGGTCCAGTGCTGCCGCTCCAGGCGCTCCTGCTGCCCCTCAGTAACTTTCTGCAAATGGAAGATGTATGGGGTAAGCAGAGAAGGCAGAGAACAAACACTACGATCACTCCTTACCCGGGAAAGCATTATCAATCAGCCGAGGGGGCTCAGGGACCCTCTCACTGGCACAAGGATTACCTGGGCATCGTTGACCAGCACACGGCCCCGCTTATTCAGTTCCTTCATGATCTGCAGGATGGCCATCTTGACATCCACTTGCACACGCTTCTGTACGTCAGACACCTGGCGAATCCTAGGGGACAGAGCAGGTCAGGCTAGGTAGGGTCTTGCTGCCCTGGGCAGTGCACTCCACAGCCCCAGAACCCACACTTACGAGCTGCGAACCTCCTTGGTGCTCTTCTGCAATGTGGCATGTTTGTCCCCAAGGCGCTTCACCAGTGAGGCCAGGAGCTTGCGCTGGTTCCTCACTGCATCCTCTAAGAACTGGTACCTGAGAGCAGACAAATGTGTTCCTGAGCACTAAGCTAGGGAAGGGGTGGCACCCACCCAACCACTATGCCTTGGGACTCACTGGTGGTCCTTGTGGGCATTGAGCTGGCAGTCTCGGCAGGTGAGAGTATCACAGCTCTCACAAAACAGCACAAGGGGTTCATGCTTGTGTACGTTGCAATAGACGGTACGTTCACCATCCCGAGACTTGGCTGGCCCTGGGGAGTTGGAATCATAAGGCTGGACCTTGCCCGTCACCACCCCCAACTCAGGAAGCAGACTAAGTTGGAGCCTCATTTCCTGCCCGTTCTGTGACACTGGGCCATTTATTGGGAAGATGTAGAGGGTGTGGCCAGCGAAGAACACAGGCCTGCAAGCCCAATTCCTTGCTTCCAGAAACCTCTGCCCCAACATAGCTGAGAAACACATCCCTTTCTTCTAGCTTCTAGAGGTGACACAAAGGTAAAGGTAAGGACAGCCTCCAGAAAAAGAGGACTACCCCCCCACACACACTGTTCCCTTTACTGAAAATTTCTCCAAGTGGACATACTCAGAATTCTGCCTACAAACCACCCTGGACTCCTTTTCTTCTCCTTTCATGGTTAACTTCCTCTCTCTTTCATGACAAGAGAACACCAGGGTCTCTTACAACCCAAGAGCCCAGAGAAAACCTGTAGAGGTTCTCATACTGGGAGAGATGAAATGTCAAACTAGGACCCTCAGAATGGTGGTCACACCCCCTCTAGACCAGGAGCTTGGTGCTCAGCATAATTCCACCCCAAGACCAACACATTAATAACCTTCAAAGCCTGCTTCTCCATTAGAAAACCGATTAAGCATAGTGGTCCAACATACCAACCAAATCCAAAATACGTAGCATCAGGGCTCACTGGGGAAACTGACTTCCCAGTGCCACCCATTCCTGCACCCTGACCTTTGCTTGGGACGTCTGGAATGTAGGACACCCTGCAGCCCCTGCCTATCCCTCCTGGCTCCTCAGGCCCCACAGTCACCACCTTCCCACTATCTTCCACCAATGCTGGCCTCTGGGATGGGAAGAATCACGGTATGGCTACCAAAAGGCCACTCATGGGAGGATT